TCATGCCCACACAAGTACAAATCCATGCGAATCTTCATGTCTTCGGCTCTCAAACACACGAAAACGGTGGATCCTTGAGGGGGGGGGTAGCATACGATTGTATATCTATGCATGTGTGTGCGCACGCGATGTCACGTAATTGCACGTAGATGACCAGCATGGACCAGCTCAAGACCGCTCCTACAGGTACTAGTTGGCAGTCCAAGTGAAAGTTAACGTCATCTGAGTAAGTTAAAGTTTCTCTTCATGAAGCTTGGGTTCACCACGCATGTGACTGGACTGGTGGGCCCCCTCAAAACTCTGCAAAATGTTGTGCACGGAAAGGATAGCCTCGGGTTTAGTGCGAATGCATACAGTTTCTAGTCACATGAGAGTTGGGCGGCAGGGGTCCTTGCCTTTAAAGTGATTCTCGTCCATTTTGAAGGATTTTGACACCCCCCCAATATTACAAGATCTGGAGCATTCGCCAGACCTGCTTCTGCAACAGCTTCGTGGGGCTTCCGGAGCAATTTCGTCAACTATCGTATTACATGCAAGAAGATCATGGCCTCTGGGTGCCCTGCCCATGGATACTGCTCCCTTTCCAGAAAGGGTTGACCGAGGGCAGTACCTTAGCTGTGACGCCGCTCCTTGTCGAGCTCTCGGCTGATGTGCACCGCTGCAAGCCCTGCTCTGGGTTGCCAGCTCCGGACCCGGCGATGCAGAGGTCACCAAGCGGGTTGTGCTCCGTGCTGAGTCCCAGTCATTCGACAGCTCGGCTTTCACAGGCCCAAGCTTCTCTGCTCAGAGGCTCAGGAGCCGGCGAACCACACCTCCAGGCACGTGCCGTTGGTCCTGGTGGCCATTTTTGCTCTGCACAGTTCCACCTCTGCTGAAACGCTTGGTCATTGTTAGGCCACTAGGCAGACTTTCTGCAGCAGCCTCGGCGGTGATGTCACACTCGTGAAAGCCGGTCTTGACAAATCTTTTCGTTCCCAAGGCTGTCCGAAAGCCAACCACCAACAGCAGCATACATGGGAACCCTGCACTTGTGCAAACACGCACGACGAAATGCCGCAAGCCATAGGAACATCGGGGCACCTTTGACTATTGCAACTTCGAAGAGGTCCCCCTGGCTAAGAAGTGCCGGTCCGGTCGTTCAGTGTTGTAGGATATGCCAGGACTCCTGACAGTCTGTAACCAGTCTGTGACTGTGACATGTCCTAGTTCAGGACAAGTTGGATGGAGTGCCGAAGTGCTGAAGATCTGAAGAACGACTGGGCGACTTGCTCGTCGGCATCCTTGACGACCGTCTTGGCCTGACTCGGGAGCAGGCTTTGAAGCTGTGGGCCTCCGTGACAGTGAAACTCGCCAGTCTCGGTGTCTGGGTGCTTTTTCTCTGCGCAGCGCCGACACTTCGGGCACCTCACCGGCGCCTGGCTTGCGCTCAGAGTCTTGAGCTGTGCCACATCACTTGGTAGTCGAGACTGTGGCCTGGCAACAACTTCAAAGAGAAGGCCACAAGGCGGCCACGAGCCTGAACTTGCTGGAACATGATTTGAAGCACTGCTCTTTGCAGAGCCGTCTCAACCAAGCCTATTTGGCTTGAGAAGCGGGATATCTCTTTCCTTTCGCGCAGCAGAAGGGAAATCGGTCCGCAGGACAAGTGTTGCCACAGTGCCAGCAGAGAGAGCAGCGTCCCCTGTCTTGCAACGACCTGAAGATCAACAATTGATTCCAAGCAGCTTGCGAAGCTTTCGCTTCAGCGTGGACGGAATCAGGCGTGTCATTAGAAAACCTGCGAAGACGGTGTGCAGCGACGATGGGTACCGTTCAGAGGCCACAAGCGTGTGTCCAGCTTGTACATCACGTGCTGCAATCTCGCAAACAAGCATAGGTGCTGTGAATATTGGCGTGTAGCGCGCCCGCTCTGCATTGGGCCTATTGCTGTTGTTTGTGTCCTCACACCCACTCCATCGGCGGACTCCAGCTTCAACTCGATATTTGCCTCATCTGCATGCACTCTGCAACCAGATCTTCTTCCGTTTTACTCGCTGAAACCACACGGTCAACTTCGACTTCAGGTGCTTCCTGGTGGGAAGGTTTTCCAGCGACATGGGGCATCAAACACTTGCGGCAAGGAGCCATGAGTTTTCCGCAGCTTTGGAGCAGTTTGTGCACGGCCACGAACACGTCCAAGTACGTGTCATCCATCCTGACACAGCTGCCACCGTCACTTGCGCCAGGAAACAAAAGTCTGATGCTGCATGTCATATCACGTGATTGTCGACCATTTTAGTTGCCCCGCCGGATGTGCTGTGTTGATTGTGTTGTGCAGTGTCGCGAGCAGATGCGGCCGCGGTGTCCCTAGCATCTTCCAAGCACAGGCTGCGTCGTGCGCGTGGGTGCAGATGCCTGCAGCGGCACGAAGGGAGACGAGTAGGCGCATGACTTGTGCACCACCGACACACGAGAATGGCAAGAACCGAGCCGCAATCTGCGCAAGTCGAGGCAAGCGCACTTTCCAACCCCAAGAAAGTGATGCTGACAAAGCCCACAGTGCGCTCTTCGTGTTTGTGCGGCACCCTCAGAGCCCTTGTGAATGTCTGCAGTCTGTGAAAAAGGTACTGAACAATTTCTTTCGCACCCACATCAGCGGGATCGCCTTCAGGTTGTCTTGACAGCTTTCTCGAATGCATTTCTGTGGACGGTGCGCCCTGAAATGCTCGGCTTCTTGGATGATCTCTTCCACAACGTTTTAATTTTGCGACACTGGCGCACATTGTGTACCGACCACTTGCAAGTGGTCGTTTAGCCGGTGGAAAAATAGGTCCTTGAGAGAGGCGCTGTAAGATTAACTTCCATGCTATCTGCTCCCGACATTGTCTCATAGCCCATGGGATCGACAAATAGGAAGGCAACAACAGTAACGAATGCCTTGACCACCACGCCTGAGGCTCCAGTCTGCTATGGGAAGGAAGTCCATCAAATGGATCAACTGATAGTTCAGCTGCACCCAGAAGGACTCCACATCGAGGAAGAGTTTCCTCAGGCAATTGGATCAGGAGCCATCTTCACACTGAAGCTCTGTTACCGACGGCAGGGCCTACAATGTCCGCGAGTTGACAAGGCAGTCTTGAGATGAGATTGATGATTCGCAAGCTTTTGGTGCCTGAACATGGCGTTTATTTTACGCGAGTGTCTTCGCTTAGCTGAAGGATACTTACGTCGTTCAGTCCAGTCAACTTTTTTGAGCAAACGTGAGCCAGAAACGTCTCTTGACATCTCCTGACGCCTGCAGGCCTGTGCGAAATGCACAGCAAAGTCACATCCTCTAGAGTCTAGAGCTCGCAGACTGCGCAGGCAATCGTTGCCAGATTTCGTGGGAAGCGTCTGCAGTCTACGGCATCTATCTGACCTTCAAACAGCACCGTTGTGCTGATGCGGCTATCATGGGACATCTGCTGTGCCGACCATCCTGCCGAATCTCACCAGCTTCTTATTTGTTCAAACCTACAGCACAGTAGAGATTACGCAAAGCTGCTCATGAAAGCACCCGCGAACTTCTCATAAGAAACTGGCGATTTTTTCGAAAGTTGAGATAAAGCTAGGTCCAATACAACCGACCGCATAGTAAGCACTTGGCCGGCTGCTTGGATCACTCCATTGACTTGACATGTGTCATGCAAGTTGCCAGCCCGCGACCCCAAATCCAAAAGCAATGAGCTGGACTTTCAAAGCACTGCTCCAGCTTCCGTCTCATGCATCTTGCTGACAGGATGGAAACTACAGCACGGGGCAAGGGGCAAATGGCAGCTCGCAAGGGACGGTGCGTCATACTGCGATGCCAACATCACCGACTCCGGAATCTACAGGAATCTGAGCCGGTTGCATTAGCTCGCATTCAAAAGATGACGTCGTGAAACGAGACTCTACGCTCTACGCTTGTCGTTACAGTGGTACCCTTGACTGAAGGCCTTTTCTCAAAAGATATCATAATGGCGTCCAGGCATGTTTGGCAATCCAAGCAGGTAGATGCAAAGTAGCAGGCCTTGGAATGCTGCGCCTCAGCGCATCATAAAACCCATGTCGTGGCAAGTGGCGGAAAGTGACATGGCGCTCCGGCCACAAAAACATCGAAGGAAAGAGTCCTGACATCACAGTATCTCCGGCGACATCGGTAGGACCGTGGAACTTGAGTGCACAGCTTTGCCATGATACACTCCACCCTGAGGCAGACACCGCAGCGACACACACATGCACACAGGAGCAAAACTCGTCCCTTCAGTTGTTCCGGCAAGAATGAGGAAAAACTGTTTCGTAGCAGTTTCCCTGGTGGCATGCATGTCGCAAATGTTGCTGCCTCACAGGCAAACAGCACGCGGGTGGCAGATTTTCACCGCGCAGCTTGTCTGTCGCCTTGAGTCAACAGCAAGCAGAACAGATCATCTGCATTGTTTCAAGAGACTGGCCGGCAGCAAGCCGAGACACGTCCACATCGGGCACTCGTTGCCGCTGCTGTGAGGACGGTCCATCGGAAGCTGAAGAGCATCTGAACTCTGTTGGATGCTCTGCGGGACGGCTTCCATCTGAGTACTCAAGCACGGTTCACGTGGCTATGTTGCATTACAAGCACCTCACACATTCGGCACCTCCTTACAATTACAACCACTCCAGCCACTGCCATCCACTGCCCAGGCGGAGAGACTGCGAGAGTTTCGCAAGACTGAAAACCTTGCCTGAACAATCTTCTAGCCGCTCTAACCGCTTCTAGGCGTGAATGCAGCGGCGGAGTTCCGTGCTGGTTGTTTGCTGTGGCATGGCCGTTGTGGCGCTTCCCACCCTGGTGCCCTGCTCGGGCAGCTGTTCCGCCGCTGCACAGATCTGGTGACCAGGGAACAGGTCAGTCGTGGTTTTCGGCTTCCCCAGCATGACACAATGTTGGGAGAGCAACCTCGTGGCTGAAGTCTGTTCATTGCCGAATCGTAAATCCTCAACTTTCCAGCAGCAACAGCTTACGATATCGCACTGGCCACACAGAATGCACCACGATACTCCATGATCTACCGCGGTGCAGTTTCCAGCTTGGCAACAGTACAAGCAAGCAACTCTGAATCTTGATTTGACATCCGACCTTGGCATCCCAAGCTGCGCGCAGGAACTTGATCTTCTGTTCAAAGGAACCGGGATGACGCTCCACCGTGCAGAGAAAGTCCTTCACAAGTAAGGCACGAGTTCAACAGTACAACTACCCAACACAAGCATAAACGCTTATGTGATCACCATGACAATGCAAACGAACAGCCCTGCTACAGCTCTAGTTCCTTGCTGGTCCCCGTGCACGGTAGCATCCTGCTCAAGGGGCCCCTGTTCGGGCTACGGGGCAGCCAAGGTCAACACGCCGTGCGGCAGGTCTCTCACAAGCATGCAGTGGCATGCCCTAAAGCAAGTCCTCCAGGTCATCAAAATGAGCTTCTGCTGGTTTGGTAAGTCCGAGTCCCACCTCGCCCATGCCGAGCTTGATAACATCAGGAGCATTCAGTTGATGCGGCAGTTAAGTATCTTTGTCTATGCATAATCAAATGCATGCTCACTCCTACTCTCTCTCTTTCTATACTTGTGTATATCTATATACATGTACATCTACAACTTCGATTGTATCTGCGTGCTATCTACATGTAGATGCCCACATGAGCCACACACATATATATATATATATGCTCGGTCTTTGGGGGGGTAGGGTGCGCGAAACGCTGTAATGCTCAAAACAATGCAAACATGCCGGGAACTTTTTGCGCATAACAGTGCTTCGTGAGTTTCAGGATTGGAGATGTTGAATTTTCTCATGACAGCGTTTCTTGATGTCCTGGACAGGACACGCTGCATCACAAGACACGCCGGCCTTTTCATTAGGCGACCCCGGTTGATCACATCATATCACATCCCCTCCTTTGGCGGACCCCCGGGCGATCCCGATTCATCACGTATCTTAAACACGCCCCCTCATGTGGCGATCCCGGTTGGTGACAGTTCTTGAACCCGCCCCTTCGTTTGGCGATCCTGGCTGATCACAAAGCTGAAACTCCCTCATATATTCAACACGTTCCCTTGTTTGACGGCCCAAGTGTCTTAACTCGTCCCCTGTTCTGGCGATCCCGGTGCATCACAAATTTTAAGCGTGCCCCCTCATTAGGTGCCGAGATAGCTTAAACTCGCCCCTTCCTTTCGCGATCCCGACTCACCATATATCATAGGCGATCCTGCTGGATCACGTTTCTTGAACCCGCCCCTCATTGGGCCATCCCGATTCAATACATACCCCGAGTCATCACAAAACCTTAGCAGACCCCCTCATTTCGCGATCCCGCCTGATCACGTATCTCAAACTGGCCCCCTCGTTTGACGATCCAAGTTGATCACAGTTCTTAAGTATCACAGATCTTCAACACGCCCCTCATCACATCCCATAAATAAACGCGCCCGCTTCATTTGGCATACCGGTCGATCACATAGCTTAAACTCGCCATCTTCTCTGGCGACCCCGATTCATCACGTATCTTCAGCACGACCCCGCCTTTGGCGATCCAGGTTGATCACACATCTTCAACGCCCCCAATCATTGGGGGATCCCGGTTGATTACATCTCTGAATCCCCCCCATTTGGCGATCCAAGCAGCGGAAGAGCAAAGAAGCAGAAAAGAGGCAAAGCAGAAAAGCAAAATCAAGAACAAGCAGAAAACGACAAGTGCACACAGGCAGAAGGTAGAAAGAACAGCTGAAAAGCAGAAAAGCAAAAAGCAAAGCACAAACAAACCTAAAACAACAAGCAAGCACAAGAACAAGTTAGAACAGGAAAACACAAAGCAAAGCCAAAGCGTAGAAGACCAGACAACAACAAAACACAAAGCAGGGCTCCTTGATCGATGAAGTCTCATCGGCTCTCGTCCCACCAGCCCAAGTTTGATCAAGCTGCGGGGCATGTGTGAATATGCTTTCTGAGACGCCTTTGCAACTTGGAATCTGCGCGACATGCTCCGCAGCAGCGCAGGTTCAACCTCCCACGTCAGCTTGAAGCATGAAACTGGACTGCTGAATACCGAAAGCCTCAGGCCCGCCTTGTGAAATAAAAAAGTGCAGCACTGGATGGTTTGAGCCCAAAGTTGCCGGGAAGCCATCTTCATCGGTAGTCTCGGATCAAAACGTGAAGTCCGCCT